GCCTCACCAGCTACAAAATATTTTAAAGGTTTTTCAAAATAGAATATATTGTGTTCAAAGGGTGGAAAACTTTTTGTTTTTTTTACACAGACACTTAAAAAGAATGTATTTTAGAGCAGTAATCACAGTACCGTGATACCATGAAACTGTGATTTTTATATCCAAGGTTATCATACCGTCAGAATCTTATACTGGCCCATGCCTAATTGTGGTGATATTTGGATGTTAACAACAGCATACATTTCATGATAATCTACTTCTGAATATCTTGTGTTGCTTATTTGTGCTGTCAAAATCATAAAAAAATGTCTTTAAAGGGTAATGAAAACCCCTGTTTCAGTTCAAGTCTAGCTCAGAAATTTTTCAAAAAAGAAAAAATGCTCTGAGTGGGCGTGGCCGGCAGAGCAGGGGAAAAAAGTGGGGAGTGAGGCGAATGACTGTCAGTTAGCGCACAAAATCAGACACAAAATGTGAGGAGACTCATGATTTTATAGTTTATGATAGATATAATAGGTTACTTGTAATTCTATATATTGCATAGGTTACAAAATAGGAGGACTTCTCTCCTCCTGAATCCCTGGGTCTGAAAGCAGACACAGTGCATAGCAGTGCAGCAGGTCTCCTGCCATAGTTATTTCAATCATTACCCCTGCCGATTTTAAACATAAGTGAACACAGCAGCATGGATATAGGAAATGTGTCTGAATGTAGCGAAGTCAACTGATAAAAGACAAAGTCTGCCATTTTCCAATCCTCGTACAGCTTCTAATGCTTCAAGAGTTCCAACTTAGCTGATGATTTATTATAAGCTTGTTTGGCATGCATTCCCGGGAGAGAGCCCTGAGCTCAAGAGATCCTCAAGCACAGGGTTCCCTCCTGTTCGCAGAGCGAGAGGGGAGATTGAGCTCAGGTAGATCTCAAAAACTTCCTGGCTGGAGTGGCTAAGGTAAACTACTTTGAGAAGGAAGGGAACTAGACAAAGTGCCTGTTTTGCTTTGTCTGTTATGTATGATGTTTTTTTCTTCTTTTGCTTGTTTTCTCTTATTGTAAAGCACTTTGTGACTCAATGTCTGGGAAAGGTGCTATATAAATAAACCTTTACTTACTTACTTACTTACTTATCATGGATATCTTTGGACAATGGGAGAAAACAGGAGAACCTGGAGGAAAGCCACACGGACACGGAGAGAACATACAAACTCTGCACAGAAACACACTCTTGCTGACCACTGGGCTGCAGTGCCGCCCAATCTGTGAGAAAAAAAAGAAGGAGAAGGGGGAGAAAGGGTGGTTTCTTCCAGACATGATAAATGTGAAATGAAGACTGTGGTTATTTATAATAACTTAGGAATCAAATGATTGAGGATCATAATTAGCTAATGCGGGACAGACTGTGGTAAATCATAAGCATGTGATCCTCTCGATGTTAATGATTTTGGTCCCACCTCAAAAATGATTTTAAACCGGAAGATAAAATTGGCTGACAAAAGCTCAAAATTATCCAGGTTTATCCACAATTAAAGCTAACAGGTGCTAACATTAGCCCCTTTCACACAGTGATACCGGTAAATATCTGGAAAATTTACGGAACGACTTTACCGGTATATTCAAAAAAGCGCTGTTCACACAGGCGAGGACATTACGGAAATTTTCCGGAAAAGAGCATTCACACATCCATTTCAAAATACCGGTAAATTCTGACATCATTCACCACAAATGAGCTTTAAACGGCTGCGCTTGTATTTGTAAACATTTGACTAAATTACAAACTCTGTGGATGATCAATATTGTGAACAACTTTCGCAGGATCACTTTCACATGTCGAGATGTTCATAATATGTGCGTTTGCAGGCGCTCACAGGCTGTTTCACAGGCACACGCAAAGCTTGAAGGTAAACAAACAACGGCTTATCATAAGCATCTCATCGATGATTATTTACGAAGTTGGCATTAAGAAGTACATATAAACGTAATCTGACTAACTTCTAGCAGCTAAATATGTCTGGAAAAATATTCAAAGGCTTTTATTCTCACAAACCGCGCGGACGTAAATGCGTCTGACAGTTGTGATTGGCTAAAGCAGACGTCTCACGTCAGCACGTTCTAGACGTGCACGCGCTTATTACGGCAATCTTCCTTCTGCATTCACACAGCGCAACATTCCGGCAAATTACCGGTAATGTTACAACTGCTCTTTCCGGAAAATAGCCAGAACGAATTTACCGGTATTTTCAAAAAGGACCTGTTCACACATACAACCAGACAAAGGTTTGTATGTGTGAAAAGGGCTAATGTCTTAATTGATTCTTAACACACACAAATTTGTTAAAATCTTTTATAAAGTACTCAAGAGTTTCTTGAATCTTTGAGCTGCTAAAACGTATTGAGAATGATTGGTGCAACATGGATAGTTAACCCAAGGTTCAAGTAATCTTGGATCTGGCCGGTATCCAGAACAAATGTTTGTCGTGGTCATTGATGAATCAAGAGCACAAAACTTGATAATAGTCTTTTTAGCATATATCATAGCATAGATCCCAGATGTGCTCAAGCCCTGTGACATCTCTGCCCCCTTTGTGTTTGGCCAGAGGAGAACGTACCTTAGCTCAGTGTAGCAGAGGCCAGCTAGTGAAGTGGCGTGCAGGTAAACCTCACTCCTCTGACCTCTAAAAAAGGTGCTCTAACGACAGACGCTATAGGCTATGGTCTTTAGCCTATTTGTTTGAACAACCAACTACCATGCGGAAAGTCGCCAGTTTGATCCCAGCTCAGAGCGGGTTGAGTACAGTAGGACCTGCAGGGTTACATGAGCATTTCTCCCAAGATTCCTACTTCCATCAATTGACTCTCTTTCACATGTTAATTGCTGATGTTACTCTACTATGTCTGGTTTGTCTGACTGTTCTGCATGTTGTAGAGTGGCACGCAGTAACAAGGACACAGAATATCAAATTGCCTGTGGAGTGTCAATTGATGGAGCTTTGGTTTCTTGCTAACAACAACCAATGTATGCCAAATCATATGCGATGCAAAGACAAGGCTCACTCAATTGTTCAACTCAATTGATTTGTAACTCTGATTCAACAATACGATTCCCTTATTGAAAGTCTAGCAAAGTTTCTGACATGCCATCCGACCATTCGATTGCTGATTGGGGGAGTTTAATCACCTCTCCGTGCCCCCTCAACACTGATCAGCATGACTAATGTTGTACGACTAATCTAAAATTGGGCCCAACAAACAAAAGTCACACAAGTCAAAATTAGGCTCAGAATTGAACCCAAAATCTCATTTGTATGGTCAGCTTAAATGTTTTTTTTTCCTACAGCACAAAACATTACATTAATTGATTATTTTCAGCAGCGGTAATCAGCAAAACATTTGTCTGGTTCAGTGGCATTGTTTATGTTCTGCTCTACAACATGGCCGACCGATGACACATCGTGAAATCACTCTATTGATAGATTTTGTCAGTATGTGTTGTGGTTGAGGCACAAAAGTGATGTCTTGGTTCACACAATGGGCACTGTAGCGTGAAGCATGAGCAAGAAACTGTTAGTCAAAAACACATGATTGAACTTCTGTCACAAAAAAATGAACTGGTGAAGCACAGTTAGTCACTGAGAGCGATACACAGTCACAGAAGAAAAATGCATTAAACTCCAAATGTCAGTCACATCCAAACTCTGAAACTGGCAATGAAACAGGCAAACAATGGCAATGATGCAACCTATCCACATTCCACTGCCAGAAAGTCCACTCAGAGAGTCGGAAGAAGCAGTGGACAGAATCATGCACTGCAAGGTTGATTTGAGTCCCAGCTGACCCAGGATGTTTTTCTCTGTGGAGTTTGCATGTCCTCCATCCGTACAACCTTTTTATTGTAGTTTGATTTGTAGTTATGCAAACCAGGCATTTTACCAGTAGATATAACTCTCACCTGAATTCCCCCACCAAAATCAGTATTAATTATTTATCTGTGTTGTGTCTGAAAGAACTTGTTCGGTTTCTCAAATTTTTAAAGAAGATTATCCCCTACAGTTCAGTTGTGTATAGACCATTTACTCCATTGAAGTTGAAGTAGTGAGGTATTTTATTAAAGGGCACCTATGGTGAAAAATCTACTTTTCAAGCTATTTGGACAAACATATTTGTATATATTTAGTGTATAGACCATCATATTGGGGTGATATAAACACACCCAGTCCTTTTTTTTCAATTTGACAACATAAAAACGGTGGACCAATTAGAGCGGATACTTCACAGTTGGGATGGTGTTCCTAGGCTTGTAAGCTTTCCCCTTTGTCCTCCAAAAGTAACACTTATGGCCAAACAGTTCAATCTTAGTTCCATCAGACTACAGGACATGTCTCCAAAAGTTTGTCTTTTTCCCAGTGTAATTTAGCAAATTGTAATCTGGCTTTTTTGTTGATTCTAGCTTGTTGATTTTCCCATGTTGTCACACAAGGAAGCAGTGTGTTTGAGGTTTTCCTTAAATGCTATTCTACAGTTGTGCCTCCAATTAACTCAAATGTTGTCAGTTAGATAATTAGAAACTTCAAAAACCTTGACACCATCATCTGAGCTTCTTCAGAGGCATAATAATCTCATTGTATGTAAACTTGACTTTCAAGAAAAGTTATAACAATTTCTCAAAACATATATCTCTCATTATTCTGCTATTAAGCATAACAGAAACAAATTTCCTAACTTACATAAAAGAGAACAAGTTTAGTCACATTACCATCTGACTTTTTTTAAATGGTTATGTGCCTTTTTATACAGCGTATGTAAACTACTGGTTTCAACTGGATGTGGTAATGCCTAAATCTGTTTTGTTTAATTTACACCAGTTGGTGTAGTGATAAGCGTAATTAGTATTTGATTATGTGTATCACTGCTGTGGTAAATTGATGCATACATTTTAAAAGTAACCATTTGTGTGGCCATTTTACTTTGCTTTAACCACTTCCATACATAACCGAGGTGCTTGATTGTAGGTGGTGAGCTTTGCCAGCTTGAAATTTGACCGCTCCTACAGCTGGATGGTCCTATGTGTGCTGTGGTGCTCCATAGCTCAGTCCATCCTCCTCCCCATGTTCCTGTGGGCCTGTGACCGTTACAGGGCAGACGTCAAGATGGTCTGGGAGAAATGTGTGGCCATCATGTCCAACGATGAAGTGGATGAAGGTAAGGACCACTCAAGACATCAAGACATCAAAAAAAATTTTTTTATTTTTATAAAAAATAAAAACAAGATAATAAAAAGTATACAGATATAGTTTTCTACATTTTAGTAATTGGAAAAAAGGCAACTAAACTCAAATGCTTGTAAATGTAATAATCTAAAAGATGCACCGTATGTTTACTGCATACAAAACCGATGTTAAATAGTCAATGTAGTTTAGTAATTATCATCCTGCAGTCACATGCATACATATATAATTTTAAATTAGCATATTTTGTATGCAAAAAATAAATAAATAAATATATATATATATATATATGTATGTATGTTTTTTTAAATATGTATTATGTTATTAATTATTACAACAGTTTAATGTTAAAGGTGTGTGGAGAAAGAAAGTAGGAAGTTTCATACTTTATTTTTATTTGACTATTATTATTGTTTATATGTATATTTTTTTATAATTTAATAATTGTATATATAACATTTTTTATATAATAATTTTACAATTATTATTATTTTTTTATTTATCATATTGTTATTTGTATTCTTCCTGCTATATTTTGGGGGGGAATATTGCTTGGTCAACAAATGATGATTTCCGTCATTGGATTTATCATGTGACCTACATTTTACCACAAAATCCCTTCATAAATTTTAGCTGACATTACCGGACTATGTTTTAATGTTCCTTTACATGGAGAATAACTGTATTCAAGCCTAGGCTGCTGTATTTGGTTAGCTGCTATATAGTATATTCAAATAATCAAGTAAAAAGGGGAGTAAATACAAAATTACAGCACCATTGTTTCACTGATGCAACTTTTTCATGATGTCACCACTACTTTGACATTTGCGTTTGCCTATACAATGTATACAATCCAGGCTCATTCTAATTACGTACCCCTATATACATTTCTTGGGAGTGCCAAGTACGTCCCTTGACTATGCTTTTTTTTTCAGTTTTTGTTTTCGTGAATCCACCAGAAGCCGCTGTGTAGGCTTTTTAAGATCTCAAGTTTCTCTTGCGAGTGCCATTTGCGCCTGCTCTTCTCGCATAAAACCACTAGAGCCCATTATTGACTGTCTGACTTACTGACTGACCAACCGACTGATACCCCCCCACCTTCCCCCTTCCTTAGATCCAACCAGTAGAGTTTTAAAAAGCAATCCAGAAAAAGAAAAGCCCCCTGATTTTTATCGCATATCAGTTTTTACCACATTCTCACCCTGTTATATACTTGTTTATTTTATTTTTTGGCTTGTTGTTTTTGTCTTACCTGCTTTCTGGAACCGTTCTTCTCCAGACTCGAGCTTCATTGTCGCGGTCAACTCCGCTCTGCGTCTCAAGTCCACCGACGTACATGTTGAGCTACCGGACAAACTAGTAACAGCGGAAAAGCCGTCCATAAGGAGGTAAGCAGTCAGCTGGTAAGCGAGAAATGAAATGGCGTCATACCACCTCGTATCGTTACTTTTAAAGATGAAATGCAGCGATCTCCAGAAATGTATATAGGGCTGCGTTTTCAGAATGAGCCTATGTTGAATATATAGGCACTGTTACAACAATAAAACTTTTAGCTTTGTGTTAATTAGCAAAAACAAATAAATAAATAAATAAATAATTAATTGACAGAAAGAAGCATCTTAAACCCTTTCAGAGAGTTCTGATGTTGATTTGCTGTTTTCATATTCATATTTCAACTAAAGCTCTATATTGATACGTACCCCTATATACATTTCTGGACAGAAACCTTTATTAGGGGCAATTTTATTTTGCAGTTTTTGTTATTACAAATCCACCAGAGGCCACTTTGTACGCTTTTTCAGATCTCAAGTTTCTTGCGAGTGCCATTCCCGCCTACCAGAGGCCGTTGTCGACTGACTTACTGACCGACTGATACCCCCACCCACCCCCTTCCCTAAGCCCAACCGATAGTGTTTTCAAAAGCACAGATTGACGGGATCACCCACTTCCCAAAACCCAACCGACGTTGTTTTCAAAACCAATCCAGAAAAGCACTCGCGACCGCCACGATTTACAATCGTACCACGTTCTCACCCTGTTATTATACTTGTTTATTTTGTTTTTTGGCTTTAGTTTTACATATTTTGAAATCATTCTTCGAAATAGAACCACTTCGTCGTGGTCAACTCCTCTCTGTGTCTCAAGTTCGAGAATGTACGTGGCGAGCTACTGAGCAAACTGGTAACAGTGGAAAATCCGTCTACACAGAGGTAAGTCATCAGCTGGTAGCGGCCACATTATAGCATTCGTTTTAAAGACAAAATGCAGCCGTACATAGCTCTGGCTACATAATTCACGCTCTCCAGAAATGTATACGGGGGTACATTTTTACAATGAGTCTGCATTGTCGTATTTACAATAGTTACTTTATTGTTCACAACCATGACAACAATTCTCTAAGAGAAGCTTAACTGTGTTTTGGTTGCAACTTTGGCTATAAAAAAATGTGTACTCAAAGATGTTCCAACATATATAAATAGTACTAAAAATAGATTTTCTTTAGGTCACATGATAATTATGAATTATTAAAAAAACAGAGGTTGTCTGAATGTACTGATGAATGTAGGTGTTAAGTGTTTGACATTGCTATTAGCAGTATTTCATTACCCTTCCTGCTATTCGGCACCATTTGCAATCATAAGGAATATGTACAAGAGATGGATTGTTGTGATCTTAATTTAAAAGTGCTCTGCTTCTTTCCAGACGGTTTGCCTTGTGTAACACAGCTCAGTTGTATGTATAAGGGTTGCTTCTTGTACTTGTGTCTCACTCAAATGCATGCAAAGCTGCCTGTGCTAACAGCTGATCTCATCTGTCATCCCGCTGTGTCCCCCATTTTGCCTAAAGATCAGCATTTCACATTGCCCTACAACTGTTTTAAGAATATGAAAGAAATCGTTACATCCCTTACAGAGATTTTTTTCCATTCCCAAATCGAAGTGTGAGGGAATTTCGATCAATTGCATTCTATACACCTTCTTAAGTAGTAAACAGCAACAGTCAGTCGTGATTATCAGTACAAGACTATTATGTGTCCACATGAAGACATCCTCTAATTTCAATGCGGATCCCCCAAAAAAATAAATGTATAAAAGGGAATTTGTTTCTCCTACCTATTCGTCTGTCTGTCTGTCTGTCTGTGTATTCTGAGCACATTGATCTTTAATCCTGATATATATATGCTTTCTGCGTTTGCAGAAAACAGCCAGGATGGAGGCATTCATCCGGACTTAATATTTGACAGACCGTTTGACTATAGCTCCGCTGGTGATATCATGACGGTAGAGCGTATTGCCAAGTACGAATTCTCAACCTTAGAAAGGGGGGGCTATCCATTGAGGGAGCTTCAGGAAGATAAAATGCACTATTTGCAGGTATATTTCCATTGATTTTGTTTTTTAAATTTATATATTTGACTTTATTTTGAACAAATCAAAACCAATGTGCATGCCTCGACCTTTGTAGTCACTAAACACTTTTACTGGAATCCTTGTGCATTCCTGTTGAAGACGTTTTCAAAGGTCAGGCTGAAATTGGAGAACTCTTGTTGTGTGTGAGAAAATGTGATCTAACACATACCTTTCTTCACCCAAGTGGTATTTTTGAATGTAGGCCTACTGTTGCAGGGCTCATGTGACGACTGCCACTGATGCCTTTTTTAGTTTATACTTTAAAGTTAAAAGCTTGAAGTCATCGCAAAATATAAATGATGAATAAACAAAACATGCTCAGAATGTCTGACTAACGTGACATAAAAATTGTATGACGGAGACACCGATTTTATTGATTTTGAGTTGTAGAGGCACAGCTGATATGTGATCTGTGTGGAAGTTCATGCTTTCATGACATCCAAATTTTGAATAGAATTCATATTATTAACTGCAGTAAAATGTACAGCTGTGCAATGCTTTCACTTCAAACTTTTAACCATTCAAATTGCCCATTAACACTCACATGTAACCTCCACTTGTAACTTTCATTGGCCTTGATTAATATCAGTCTCACCTGTCATCCATTTTTCTCTCTATATGAATTAACCAATGATTGACTGGAATGAGAAATTGGATTTGGAGGTTAAATGTGGAGAATATGCCATAAACTTGTATGCCAAACACTTCCCAAAGCTCTGTTAGAGAATCGGCAGTGCTTGACTGCTTCCCATTGCAGATTTACCGCTATATACTGTACATTGCACGAATCAACATTTGAAATTCTCTTCAAAGTTTACAAAACTGCCATTAACATTGTGTTTGTTAGAACGGTTTCAAAGACACTTGGCAAAAAACACTGATGCTTATTGATTAGAACTAGAAAACAATGTTTAAAATGCATTAGACTGTATCCAAAATCAACTTCTAAATTCCTATTGACTATTCGCTAAATTAGTCCACTAAGGCCATGGTCATACGTAAATGAGTTTTCGTTTTTTTTGTTTTGTTTTTATGCGTATGAAAACACACCATGGTGCATGATGCACCAAACCAACAGGCAAAGATAGTGACACTTTCAAATTTCACTGTCGCCTCACAGCAAGGTCGCTGGTTCAACTCCTGGATGGACCAGTTGGCGTTTCTGTGTGGAGTTTGCATGTTCTCCCCATGTTCGCATGGGTTTCCTCTGGGTCCTCCGGTTTCCCCAACAGTCCAAAGACATGTGCTATAGGAGAATTGGGTAAACAAAATTAGCCGTAGTGTATGAGTGCGTGTGTGAATGTGAGAGTGTATGGGCGTGTCCCAGTACTGGGTTGCGGCTGGAAGGGCATCCGCTATGTAAAACATATGCTGGAATAGTTGCTGGTTCATTCCGCTATGGCTACCCCTGATAAATAAGGGACTAAGCCGAAGGAAAATAAATGAAGTATTTTCGCCAATAAATTGTATTCAGGTCAATGCAAACATGAGAACAGAGGCAAATTACCATCTTGCAATGAGAATGACATTGAATATGGGATGTATTTAGTGCAAATGTGTAGAATTTGTCTTGGCCAATCAGAAAGGAGAAAACAGTGATGAGGAAAAACTTCAGTTGTTTTCAACCACACTGTATTCAGAGTTTCAGAAAATCTTCACCCTCCCTGCTGAAAATAACAGATTAAAACAGCCTAGGTTGGCTGGTTTTAGCTGGTTGACCAGGCTGGTTTTAGAGAGGTTTTGGCCATTCCAGGCTGGTTTTCAGCCATTTCCAGCCTGATCTTAGCTGGTTAGGCTGGGGGATGACCAACTAAAACCAGCTTGACCAGCCTAGCAAGCCAAAACCAGCTATGTCCAGCTTCAACCACGCTGGTCTAGCTGGTTTTAGCTGGTCATTTTCCAGCTTAACTAGCTAAGACCAGGCTGGAAATGGCTGGAAACCAGACTGGAAATGGCCAAAACCTCTCTAAAACCAGGCTTGTCGACCAGCTAAAACCAAACGACCAGCTTAGGCTGGATTAAGCTGGTTATTTTAGCAGGGCTGGTTAGAGTTTTCAGAAAGTTTCACTTTCAATCACCCAATACTGCGTTGTTTGTGTAAACAAACAATGAAACTGCATAGAAAAAAAACTGTGGTTTAAAAAATACCAGTGTTCGCATGGAGAGGGTCTAATATAGTCCTCTTGATACGGAGTAGATTTTAAACTTCTTGGTCGGACACTGGGATAGTTATTTAAGACTTAGCTATTACTTAGTATTTTGATTTGTGTTAGGTGCCCGAATTTGAATTCTGTGTAACTCTGGCAGTCCTTTACCACCCAACCCACTCCATGCTGGGATTGAACTGGCAACTCTCTGCATGGGAGTTTGTTGCTTTAACAAGGAGACTCAAGGCCATGGCCTATAGCATCTGTTGCTAGGGCACCTTTAGAGGTCAGAGGAGTGAGGCTTACCTGCACAGCACTTCACTAGCTGGCCTCCTCTACACTCACACCCCTAAACCTCACTCCTATCCGGGTCATGGCACCAATCTAACCCCGCCGGTCCTACACCACCCAACCCACTCTGAGCTGAGATCGAGCTGGTGACTCTCTGCATGGGAGTCGCTTGCTTTAACAAGGATGTTAAAGACTGTGGCCTACAGTGTCTGTCGCTAGAGCACCTTTTCGAGTTCAGACGAGTAAGGTTTACCTAAACAGCACTTCACTAGCTAAACTCTGTTACACAAAACTCTCTAAACCTCACTCCCGTCCCGGAAGAGCCCCCATGTGTAACCCACCGGTTCTACTGCACCCAACCCGGTCTGAGCTGGGATTTAACTGGCACTTTTGTACATGGAAGTCAGTTGCTCTAACAAACACTTCACTTGCTAGCCTATGCTACATCTCCATTGGATGCCATCTTGTGGACAGATGAGGGAATTCATTTGTTACACAAACACTCACAGTGCATCATGAATATTCTAGTTGTTGAGTGTACATCAGTTATACTCATTTCTGTGGTGCTTTGTGTGCTTGGTTATATGCACTTCAGAATATCCACTATGATTTCGGACACCACAACAAATGACTTCTCCCTCAAATAGTGCACAATTTGTAAAAAGAATAAGGGGTGATTTTGGATACAGTCTTGTGCTATAGAATAATGATCAGTGTTCTTTTTCAATTTCACCAGTGTTTTGCATCATCCTCATTGAGTATTAGAACATCATTGGGAAGTACAAGCTGCTTAGTACAAGCTTTGCTGTCAAGCCATTCGGAATAATAAATGCTCCTAAACAATTATATTTAACGCTGATAAACAACTGTAATGTTTCATCAATAAGCAGCATAATACAAATAAAATGACAAGCTTTTATAAATAAGATATACAGTTGAAGGCAAAATTATTAGCCCCCTGTGAAAAAGTCTTTTTTATGCAGTGATCTTTAACAGAGCAAGGAAATTTTCCCAGTTTTTCCATTTTTTTTTCTTCTCTAGAATTTATTTTTATTTTTTTACTTTGGCTGGAATAAAATCAGTTTTAATTTTTTTTTTAAGATCAGTATTATTACCTTAAGATTTTTTTTTTTTGACTGGCTAAAGAAAAAACAATGACTATTTAACCCAACTTGCCTAGTTAATGTAATGAACCTAGTTAGGCATTTAAATCCATGATTAACTGTAATTATGGCAAAGACAATAAAAATATAAAAATATTTTAGCAAAAAAAAAACATTTTAAATCATGCAAAAATCATGTATCCGTTAAACAGCACTTGGGAAATATTACAAATTCACAGGAGGGCTAATACGTTTGCCTTCAGCTGTTTGTATCAAGGTTTTTAAAATGCCAGAACATAAATGTTTTCTAATATGTAATTAAGCTTGTGTATATGTTGATAACTGTTTAAATTGATGACATCATCAGCAATGTTGTTTAAGCAAATCTATCCACTGAGCTATTGCAAGAAAAGAAAAGGAAACTCTGAATGCCACTGCTTAAATGATGCTTTGCTTCCCTCTACTGGCCTCAATCAGACCTCATAATGCATAGGGCTTCCTTGTAAACTGCTGGCTCATTCCTGCATTTATCAATACAGTCGCTTCCGTGCTAGGCTTGTGCTGTATGCTTTGGATAGTGTATTTAAAGCTCTTTCCAATACTAAAGACTAATTTTATGTCTTTCCTGTGTAGTTCTCAGAACAATGTGGAATGTGAGTATCTGTTTGTAGAATGAGTGATTGTAAAACACACAAATAAATAATAATAATTCACTTCCCTGCATTTTTGTGTTTAATAGATGTCGAATAGACATACAAAAATTATTTTCTTTTAAAGTTTTTTTTCATCCAACGTCTTGGCTAGAAGTACATTTGAACTGTTAGTAAAAGTCTAATGGACGTCTAACAATATTCTAAAACCTTAGCTGCATCCCAAATCGCTTACTTATGCACTATTCTACGCCATTTTGTAGTATAAATATTGTAAGTAGTGCGTTCACACTGAAAACTCTAAAAATAATAAGTGCACTTTAATTACCCGGATGATGCACTCATTCAGCTGGTAAAATGAAGTGTGGAATGATGGACACTTCACGAACTCAACGACCGCAGGTTTGCTTGCGTAGGGGAAGGGGCGGAGCTATCGGACCCACATGTTGGATAACTTTATTTATTTTGGATGATAAAAGCAAAATTCTCCTACGAGAGGGATTATAGCGCCTCCCGATGGTGAATGCGGCAATACTCACGGCAGGTATTATTTGATAATTCGGTCATATTTCACTTATTTGGCAACCGTCAAACGTCATCAGGGAAACGGTTTGAATTTCAGCTTAGTAAAAAACCATTAGTGTGCCATTTGGGACGACACTACATACATGTACTATCCTCTTGAGTGTGTAAGTGCATAAGTACATAGTGCATGAGTGCATAGTGTATAGTGTGCCATTTGGGACGCAGCTATAGACTACTCGGCTAATAAACACACTGCTGTTTGTTCAAACTACTTATTTAAAAAGAGCTGAAACAAATACAATTCCTGAAAATTTCTAACCCTGTTCCTGGAGGCACATCAACAGAACACTACCTGACAAATGTCTTGTCGACTATGCAAGTTTTAGGAACAGCAATAACTTGACTTCTAGTTGATCATTTGGCATCAGAACTGGCTTATATGAAAGGCGAAGGCCTCTAGATTACGCTTATCTCACCAAAATAAAATAAAATATGATCATGATCTTGATTTTTAATTATTTAATCAGGACAGTAAGTTCTGACTTTGCTCAGAAAAAAAGTCTTATCACTTAAAAGAAATAATGTACAGTATAGAATATAAAGTCATGGTGAAGTGGAAAAATAATCAATATTGTATATGACTCCCATGAGCTTGGAGGACTGCATCCATACATCTCTGCAATGGCTTAAATAACTTATTAATGAGGTCGTCTGGAATGGCAAAGAAAGTGTTCTTGCAGGACTCCTAGAGTTCATCAACATTCTTTGGATTCATCTTCAATGCCTCCTTCTTTATTTTACCCCAGACATGCTCAATAATGTTCATATCTGGTGACTGTGTTGGCCAATCCTGGTGCACCTTAACCTTTTTTGCTTTCAGGAACTTTGATGTGGAGGAGAGTATGAGAAGGAGCGCTATCCTGCTGAAGAATTTGCCCTCTCCTGTGGTTTGTGATGTAGTGGACAACACAAATGTCTTGATACCTCAGGCTGTTGATGTTGCCATCCACTCTGCATATCTCACATACTGAATGTAACCCCAAACCATGATTTTTCCTTCACCAAACTAGACTGATTTCTGTGAAAATCTTGGGCATGTGGGTTCCAGTAGGTCTTCTGCAGTATTTGTGATGATCGGGATACAGCTCAGCAGATGATTCATAGGAAAAAATTACCTTCTTCCTCTTTTCCAAATGATTAACTAGAAGTCAATATAATATTTGTTGCCCTTACAACTGGGATCAACGACAAGACTTTTGTCAGATAGTGTATATAATTTGGATGTCTCCCCTATCTGACCCATTCATTTCAGGTTTTGGAGTCTCTTCTAATGTTCTTATGAGTTGATTCAGGTGTGCTTAATTAGAGAGAGGTTAAAAATGTGTACTGTTGGTGTGCCTTCAGGAACAGGGTTGGGAATTTCTGCTCTAATAGATGACAATTTTTATTTATTTTTTGTCATCTATCCCAAATGTAGCCTTGTTTTAGCTAAGAGGTCTATATTTAGACGTCTATTAGAAATCTTTTAAACACAAAATGTCTTTGTGGGTTAATGTAAAGCTCAAAACATTTAAATATCCCTATAAAAATATTTAAAAACCTCTTATGAACCTCTAATATTCATATATTAGCACTTTAAAGTGAAAGCAAACCTGTTGTGCCATCGTAGATTCCAAAAGAGACGCAAAAGCATAGAGAGAACACGTGCAATTTCTCTTATATTGAGCCGGAAGCACAAATGAGTAGACTTTAGCTTTTATAAAGTGCTGGTTCATTTGTGTGTGTTTTACTCCAGGTGCCGCCTACAAGAAGATACTCCCACGACGAAACCGACATGTGGACCACCGGTCAGATCCCGTCTTACCTGCATCGCTGGGGCTCCACAGAGGACATCATCGGCATCCCGCAATACAACTCGCCGCGCCACGAGAGGCGTCGGAGCAGCCCGGCCTCCTACCGCGAGGAGAGCCACCCGCACCGCAAGAGGAGGCGATCCGAGGACATGCATTCACTCAAGCAGATTCCCCGAGTCGAACGTTATGAGGACAATTTCAAGTGTTTTAGCCGCGACGAAGTGATTAATTTCATCGATGAGACACCTTTGGCCAGTCCAATGAGGAGTCCGCGGCGAGCTTCTGCCATCTCTCTGATCCCAGAGTCGTTCCAGCAGCACATCGTCTTGCTGCCGCACTTCCCGCTCACACACTTTGAGCGCGAACCTCAAGTGTTGAGACGCTGCTCAGGAGCCATGATATCTGAGATCCCTCAGGATACGCCGAGGAAGGCCAAAGATGGCAGTGCAGCCGGCGAAGGTTCTGTCGTTAAGGGATGCCTTGAACATAGGCACGATGCCAAGAATGCACCAGAGCTGGTTCCATTGGGTGCACGGACCGGGGATCAATCTTCTCCAAGTATTAGGACAGGACAGGTAAACGCATCTGCTTGGGTGGACCACAAACACCTGTCAAAAGGTGAAAGCAAAGGAAGCACAAATAGTTTTATAAGCTCACAATCTGCATCGTCCGGCTATATCACTTTTCACTCGGAATCCATAGGATCCACACACTAAGGAACAGTTGTTGGTTTTTTTTGGAGTATCATAAAATAGTCCCTGATATGTTTATTAGTATTACAGCTTTGACTATGTGGAATGTTTTGTATTCTAGGAATTGGCCGTTTTGAGATGTGGTTGATTTAAAACAGCATTGGGATATCTTTATTGCCTTGTTGTGTGTTACTGATACAAGGCTAGATTTCGGGATTGGCAAGTGAGGTCAAGCCGAGTGGCAGGTAAGTGTCTTGAAGTCAGCACTTATGTAATGTGAGATATCATATATATAATTGTTTGGGTTAATTTAATCGTAATCATTTTTTTTAACCAAAGTACCATTAGAAGTAACATTTGGTACCACTTTATTTTGATGATCCATTTGAGTATTAGTAGACTGTGCTTAATATCTGTTGATACTGCTGCTAAACAGACACTTAACTGACTGTAAGAAACTTTGCAAGTACATGTAAACTTGCATTAACCACAACCCTAACAGTCTACTTATAATTTAATGAGAAATTAATTGGCATGTAGATGCAATGTAACTTAAATCCAACAAACGGACCATCAATATAAAGTGTGACCAAAACATCTCCCAAGTATTTTTTATATTTCCTACATTCATGGTTATATATATATATATTACAATTTAGCCCAAATCGCCCTTCTCTCATAAATATATAAGAGAAAGGAGTCATCCAAAGACCTGTGCCCAGCAGGAAATGAGGATCCAGATTAGGGTTGGGCAATGTCGACCAAATTGGCATCGTACACAGTCTAATGTCAAATGTCGCCATGGTTGATGGCATCGTCATCATGTAAAAGTGTGTGGGAGGAGGGGGGTGATTGATAGAGTGCGCGTGACGTGTCTGAAAAGCAAGGAGGGATCCGGGGGGTGAGAAGGGTGCGTGACTTATATGAGGATCGGTGTCGATTCTGTTCCCTTCTGGAATTCCAGTTCCGCCTCTACAAAGCATGTCCGCTAACAGAGTCTGCGGACACAACTGGGTGTACGGAAAGGGAAAATGGACAATGCTTTCATGTCTTGCAATACCAAAGTAGCGTAATATAATTATTCTAATTAAGTATTTTCTGTGGTTCTTGTTTGTATCCATAGCTTTTTTCTAATTTCAGTGTTTATGCACCCTAGTTTAATATTGCGCAAAGGCCTACAATTATGTTTGTTCGGAAAAAAATACTTTTAGGACCACTTTCCTTTCCGTTAACCAAGTTGTGTATAGGTGTGTCTGCATAAGCTGTCAGCGGAAATACTCCATAGAGAGGGAACTGGAATTACAGAAGGGATCAGAATCGACTTCTACACCGAGAGGGAGACGCGTGATTTTCGGGAGGTTATCACTTTCACAGCCCCGCAAATGCATAGAGACTTCCAGAACTTGGGATGTCTAAATATCACGTTTAACAGCTATAGTGAGACGCGATTCAGCAGTACATTCTTTTTTTTTATATATATATATAATTTTTCGGGGTTTTCACCTTTATTTTTGATAGGACAGTAGAGAGAATTGACAGGAAAGCATGGGGAGCAGAGAGAGGGGAAGGATCGGCATAGGACCACGAGGTGGAATCGAACCCGGGTTGCCGCAAGCACCGGAGTGCATGTGTTGACGCACTAACCACTACACCACTTGCGCCGACGATCCAGCAGTACATTCTTGATAAACTGTCCGACGTGCATTGCTCTCTGTCTTTGGAGCTCAGACGTGTGCATGACAGTGTGTAGCTGTGTGTGTGTGTGTGTGTGGCTGTGTCTGTCTGTGTGTGTGGGGTCACGTGATGTGCGTTTTCAGCGGATGGAGGGCTGTTCAGAAATGCTAGGTAAAACACGGTGTGGATGTGAATCATTTTCATTCTAAAATGCCATTTTAACACTAAGACGTATTAGTGTAAAGTGTGTATTTTCACGAGCGGGTTTGCTAGGGGGGCGAGGTGGAGGATCGGCGTTGCCGGCTCAGCATTATGTTGTCTATCGGCCATCGGCGATGGCATCGTTTATCAGCCCAACCCTAATCCAGATGACTCTGTAGTGAAATAGCACTTTTTTTGTTTGTGAGAGAATTGATATTTCAGTAAACAGATGTCTGAATCATTTTGTTCTCTTCGTTTAATGAAACCTCAAAGGTCAACTTGGCAGTGGAACTGTTTACATAGTTTCTTTTCAACGCTCACAGAGCTTTTAGCTAACTCTTTAACTGTGTTTTTGTTGTTTCTGATGGTGTGGCATGTTTCTTTTCAAGTAAACAGAAGAGATATTTTGTTATATAGTTTAAATCCATATTTTTAAAGCACAAGGTTCTCTTTGTAGATCCAGACGTGATTGCCAAAAGGCTAAAAAAAAAAAATGTTTCATTTCACAAATATGTTTTTAAATGAGTTTGTGTTAAGTGCTTTGTGATGATTGAACATGTAAATCTGATGCATTGTTATTCTCATGATTACAGTCTTATTTGTCTGGTAGCCCGTAACAAAGTTTGATATGACACTATTTAAAAGCACCCACAGCCTGCAGTCGACATGCACCTTTATTTAAATTGATTTTTTTACAAAATAAGGGACATCATCTTTTGTCATGTGGAGAAAAGAATCTTTTTGAAAGCTGGTGTAATTTTATTTGATAGGAGACATAACCACTCAATCAGATTTGGATATTTGATGTAGTATGTTATATTGTATATGACCACATTTTCTACACCTTACCCCAAGATTTTTAAATCATTTGTTTTTGTTCATTTATATATATATAAAAATATATCTGCTTACTGCCAACATGCACTTTTATACATTTCATACAGCCAGATTTTGGTGTTGAAATATAAAATGGTGCTTGATGCTAGGCAGCTTTGTTGGGATCCCCATTGATATTCTTTAAATTTCATATGGGAACCTGCAGATTGCTCTTATCTAATCTAACTTACTAAAAGGGCATCGGTGAGTCTTCATATTCCTATAATCTGGATGGCTGTAAACATTTTTGTCCCCTTAAATTCATTGGCTTTTGAAGACAGAATCATATTTTATCATAACTGGGATGGTATTAAACTGAATGTGTAAAGGTTTCTATCTGGTGGAATATATACATTGACTAAAATCATCTTGAAATGGCGTAAGCCTTGTTTTATATATAACCACTTACGGTACATATGACATTTCACAATGTAGCATATGACATTTCACAATGTAAACCTAAATAAGCCACTCTGACATATGAGCTTAACTTTACACTACCTGACAAATGGCTTGTCGTGGATCCCAGTTGTAAGAACAACAAATAATATCTTGACTTTTAGCTCATGGGAGTCAAACACAATATTCATTCTTTTTCATTGCACCATGACTTTATATACTGTACATTATTTCTGTTTAGAGACAAGTCTTTTGTCTAAGCAAAGTCAGACCTTACTGTCCTAATTAACTAATTAAAAATCAAGGCATCATCATATTTTATTTTGGTAAAATAAGCGTAATCTAGAGGCCTTCGCCTTTTATATAAGCCACTTTGACACCCAATAATCAACTAGAAGACAAATTATTAATTGTAGTTTTAAAACGTGAACAGGTGACAAGGATTTTGTCAGGTTGTGTACTGTTGATATGATCACCATTAAAGAATCAGTACTGTTCATCATTTTGAATATGAATAAGGCAACCAGACAGTTTTAATCAAGTTCTTATTATACATTAACCCAGTCATTGGGTGAAGAACTATATATGGTAACTTAATTAACATTGATTACAATATAATAATTATTTTTAAGTCATAAAAATTTTATTGACTTGCAATAACACTTAGTTTTTCCATGAGTGTGCTATAAAGGGTTAAAATGTGATAAATGAAGCTTTACAAACTTCTGAGGTTAAAAACGGACCACTGATATTTTGTTGAAATATGAAAAAAAAATCTCTTCATACCATAGTTCCCAATTCATGGACGGAGGAGTTTCTTTTATTGAAAACAAGAGGACATTTTGAAAAATGTCATTAGTCAGTTGCCGCAGCCATATCACCCTGCAGCCCAAGACCGGTTACTCACTGAAGCTAAGCAGGGCTGAGCCTGGTCAGTAACTGGATGGGATCCCACATGGGAAAACTAGGTTGCTGTTGGATGTGGTGTTAGTAAGGCCAGCAGGGGGGGCTCAACCTGTGCTCTGTGTGAGTCCTAATGCCTCAGTATACACTCTCAGAAATAAAGGTACAGGAGCTGTCTCTGGAGCAGTATGTTTTCAAAAGGTAAATATTAGAAGGGCCCTAAAGGGTCCATAATGGTACCTCAAAGGTATTTTTAGTTATATTTGGGTACCAATAACCACCTGTAACCAGTGTAGTAATGGGGACACTATTATGTCAGTGACCGCCGTCTTTCAGATGAGATATTAAACCCAGGCCCGGACTCTCTGGTCATTAAAAATCATGTTATTTCTCATAAAGAGTAGGGGTGTAACCCTGGTGTCCAAATTTCCTCCATTAGCCCTTACCAATCATGGCCTCCTATTCATCCCCATCCACTGAATTGGCTCTATCACTGTCTCTCCATTCCCCCTATGGCTGGTGTGTGCCTATGGCTGGTGTGTGGTGAGGGCACTGGTGTCATTGTCCTGTGGCTGCCATCGAATCATCAAAGTGATTGTGAAGCGCTTAAGGTGTATGGACATACACAATAAAATGTGCTAAATAAGTACACATTACATTATCTAAACAGTTGATGTCAACATTGACTTCCATAGTAGGAAAAAGTACTATGGTAACCATATACTTGAAATGGAAGTCATTAGTGACCAATCCATCTGGAAATAAACTACTTTTTTTAATAATCCTGTCCTGGTTTAATCTTACGTAAATCTTTTTAAATAAAGTAAACTTCAAGTTCAGACCATTTCCTCTCAGCAGTGAACACCGTCTCAATCAGCACCCTTGTTGAGTAGTCAGCCATTTTAAGTGGTGTCTTAATCGCAAAATTGCACAGTAAATGGATGCGCCCTTAACGGAAGTTCAGAAGCACAAAATGAGAATCCTGTGATCATCCGAGAGATGTTTTCTTAAAAAGAATCTATTACTTGTTTCTTTTTAACAATAAAAAACTAAGTTAGACAGGTTAGGAACAGTTTAGCAAACATTTATAATCGTTTAATGGGTGAAATGTTGATGCTAG